TCATATTTTTGTTTCGACAATCTTTACGTCATTTTGACTTCAACAACATTCAAAACGTATTTAAAAATATGGTCTGAATTTTCTTTTAGAATTTCTATAGATGGTAAAAAGCGTATTTTAGTATAACAAATTCATCACTTAAAAACTTGTAAAAAAGTAAAGATACTGTAAATACTTTAGTGATACCAGATACAAATCGTTCTTCCGCTTTTTTTGTCATAACTGGCCCAACAAATGAAAAGAAATAGGCATGTATCCCGTGGAAATAGTTGTCTAATGTCACAAATTTAAAAAAGTGCTCATATGAACTTCTCTTTATTTATTATCTTTAGTTTAATATTACATATAAATGCTACCTTATTTTCATTACGATTTTATTCATTATTTATATTTCCAATATTTATTTATGAATCTGAATTAAAGGCAAAAAATTAAACATTTTCAAGTTATACGGAAAGTATCTGGTATTAAAATAAAGTATAATAAGGATTTCCATTTAAGGCTGTCAACTTATAAAAGTATACTTTTGGATTTCTGTCTCAGTAAAAGCATTCTCACAGTGACAAATTTTCACTGTCAGAATATTTTTGTTTGTCAAAATTTTTAAGATTATTTATAAATTTTGTTTCCTCATATAATAATTTTTTATTGTTTTTTTCATGGGCTCAAACAGTTTTTCGTGCACTTTTGTTTTTGAGCTCCTTAAATTCAAGAAGAAAATTTTCTTCTCAAATGTTTCCTGGCTAAAATCATTGATATCTTATGATATGACTGATGACATCACAAAATATCAAGCTTAAAAACAATAAAGGACAACAAAAGCTTTTGTTTAAAACCAAGGAAGAATTCAAATCAAAATTAAGTCTAAGACAAATATAAAAATAAAGAACAATAAATAGTTATATGTTTATTTTATTCATTAGAATTATTTCTATAAAGGATACATTTTATTATGTTATACCGACTAGCTAGGTGGACAATTAAAACTAACCTCAAACAATTTTTAGTATAAATGCTCAAGTTATAGTTAATATAATTGATCGCTTTTTTATATGCGCAGCAAATAATTATTTTGATTTAGTAACCGGGCAAGAAGCCACTATCTAGCACCGCCTTTAGAACGAGTTTTTAGATAAAAACAAGATAATTCGACTATGGTGATTTTTTATATTGTTTCATCTACTTCAAAGCTCTCTTCCAAGTCTTCAAACAGTGTTTAAAATTTTATCTATTCACTATTATGTGAATACAGTGAAAAAGTTGAATCAAACTTTACTGTTATGTGAATACAGTGAAAAAGTTGAAACAAACTTTACTGTTATGCGAATACAGTGAAAAAGTTGAATCAAACTTTACTGTTATGTGAATACAGTGAAAAAGTTGAATCAAAATTTACTGTTATGCGAATACAGTGAAAAAGTTGAATCAAACTTTACTGTTATGTGAATACAGTGAAAAAGTTGAAACAAACTTTACTGTTATGTGAATACAGTGAAAAAGTTGAAACAAACTTTATTGTTATGCGAATACAGTGAAAAAGTTAAATCAAACTTTACTGTTATGTGAATACAGTGAAAAAGTTGAAACAAACTTTACTGTTATGTGAATACAGTGAAAAAGTTGACACTTGCTCTTCAATGATAAAGATTATGGTTTTGATGTTGTCAACAACAAACATTTCTTTTATTTAACTAAAAATGCGGTTGACGTAAATTTGTAAAAGTTGATTCTCCAACAAATTCTTCAGAACAATATTTAATAAAAAATGACATAATAACAGCTTTCTTATCCTTCAATCTCACCACAATGATTTTGTTAAAATAAAGGTTGTAGCGTTAGGTACCACAAATTGTCTTTTAATAAAATTACTATTTTCATTTTTCCTCATTTATATATAGTTTTATATACTTTTATGTATTTATACTTTTCTGTAAATAAATGGTTTAAAAATTCCAGAGTACGTTAATTTTTTGAAAACTTCTGTAAACGATATACTCTCACCTGCCGAATAAAAAGTGTGTGTGTATGTTAGGAGGGAAGGGGGAGGGGGCGTGGGGTTTTATGAAAAGTAAGGATCGGATATTTCTAATAAAGATTGGGGAAGAAGATCTTTTAAAACGGAAGGGTCGTAGTTTTGCAATAACTTCAAATTTCTAAAAGAATAAAAATACAAAAAAAAAATTGTTTAAATTAGAAGAACAATATTATCTTTTATTAAAGATAAAAAAATATCGAACCTAATAATCGACTCCTCCCGTTTATTCGGCAGGTGAGGACATAACGGTTAGAGAAGTTAATTAAAAAAATCTTTTTAACATTGAAAACAAAAGAGATATTGGTTCAGCATTGCATAAAAAATATTAATTTAAACCATTTTTTTTATTGAGTTTATCATTATAGTATTTGTTAATTTTGCATTATTTTTGTTTATCATATGCGTTTTAAATTTTCAAATGTCTTAAAACTGTTAATAGCATATTTTTCAGAAATTTATAATTCTAACCTATTAATATAAAGCTTGTACAGAAATTTATAGTTCTAAGCTGTTAAAATTAAGCTTGAACAGAAATTTATAGTTCTAAGCTGTTAAAATTAAGCTTGCACAGAAATTTATAGTCTTAAGCTGTTAAAATTAAGCTTGCACAGAAATTTATAGTTCTAAGATGTTAAAATTAAGCTTGCACAGAAATTTATAGTCCTAAGCTGTTAAAATTAAGCTTGCACAGAAATTTATAGTTCTTAGCTGTTAAAATTTTTTTTTTTAATTAATATAAATTTAAAAAAAGAATGTAAAATAAACATAAATTATAAATCCAAAGTTATTAAATGGCTTTCAACATAGTTCCAGATTTTCTGAGAACCACAGTTAAGAGTCTACAAAATAACTATGGTATAATAGCTTACTTAATTTTCTTTTTGTTGATGCTACTATTGCTGGTGCTGGTAAAAAACAAAAACAAAAACTGAAGTTCTGAAAATATAATATCTAGTTTTCACTCTGCCAAAAAATTTAAAACTTGTAGTGAACCTAAATGTATTGTAACAAATTCAGTTTTGCAATTCATTGTTATATGTTTCATTTTTTATGCACAGTCTTTACTAACATTATCTTTTTATGCACAGTCTTCAATAACATTATCTTTTTATGCACAGTCTTCACTAACATTATCTTTTTATGCACAGTCTTCACTAACATTATCTTTTTATGCACAGTCTTCACTAACATTATATTTAGAACATTTCCAAGTACTTTAATTTTTATTTTATTTTAAAAATTATTCTCTGACATATATTTGTTAGTTTTAAAGAAAACTTATTAATTCTTCCTCTGACATATATTTGTTAGTTTTAAAGAAAATTTATTAATTCTTTCTCTGACATATATTTGTTAGTTTTAAAGAAAACTGAAAGTCTCAGAAATATGTTTTGTGGCGCTAAAACGAACTATAAATTTTCTAATAAAATTATCCAATACGACATAAAAATTTATTTTCAGAACCGGGATTTTAAGGGAAATTCATCTGCCTAACTCATTTCATTCACATTTTTATCGTGGATTTTATGATATTGTTTCCAAACAATGTTATTTCTATATGAAGGTTAGCTACAACAAGTTTAAAAGGTAAGATGCATCAAAATTAGAAGGTTAAATGCAACAAAGTTAGAAGGTTTTCGCGTCACGGTAAAGAAGGAGGCGTGAACTTCCTGGTTAAATGCACTTCCGCGGTGCTCTGTGACAAGACCGTAAGGTCTTCTTAGGGCACTTAAACAACAATTAAAAAAAAGGTTAGATGCAAAAGTTCTTGATTCTTGTTTTTGGAGTAAGATTTACTTGGAGCAAGTTTTCCAAATCCAGCTTTACTCCTGAAAAGTGTGATAAAAATGGTGTGGCAATCTCAACTTAACCATATGATGCCAGATAAGCCATAACAGGAACAAATAATACAATAGGGGAAACTGGGGTAAAACGGGGTACTAAAGGGAAAAACCTTTCTAGAATAAAAAAAGTTTTTAAAATCAATACAATTTTGCTTGAAAATAAAATAATACAACGTTGACAACATTGTAACAAAGCAAGAACACCATTAAAAAAAAACACAAATATTTTGCACCATGTTTGGGACAAAATGGAGTTTAGCGCGGGGCGATATAGGGTCATGGGAAGAACAATGTTACTCTTGTAACAATAAAATTGTTCACTATTTATGCATAGTGAATATATGCAATAAAATTATTCACTATTTGCGACAAACGTTTTACTCGTGTCTGTTTTGCAACTATCCCGGTGGTAAATGAGATAGCGACTAGCAAGCAACTAGCTAGCTTTATAGCGATTTTCAAGCGATTTTTTTTTCTTATTTTATTCTTTACTAATGTCTCTAACATCTTTTAAAATTCGATTTTTAGTGTTTAGTCTATTATAACTATGAGAATAATTGAATTTTAAACATTGCGATTTTGTAGCAATGTGTCGCTAGCTACATATCGTAGCTTTGTAGCTAGCTACAAAATATCTAAAAATCCATAGCTGGTTGATAGCTACATACCAAAATTTTTTTGATAACGATTTTATTACAATATGACGGTAGCTACAATAGCCTCCGAGTTTTTAGGTTATTAAGCTAGCTGTCCTCAAAGCCAAATCGCTGTCTTTATCTTTACAAATATCGATAGTTTTTCGCTAACTTAAAAAAGCTAGTGATCCTTGTGGCTCGCTGTCTTTATCGTAACGATTATAGCTAGCTATTCGCTAGCCGATTTCCCACCGGGATCATCAAACCGGATATCAAATCAATAAAGCCATAACCTTGAACCTATTACAATTTATAGGCTAATATAATTTAAAGCTAGACTAAGATCAAAATTCTAAAATAGTATGCTAGAAGTAGTATTAGCTAGTAGTATTAAGGTTACTATAATATTATAGTCTTCCGTTTAACTATCTAACTATCTATATATTCGTTTAACTAAATAAAATTACAATTCAGCTATAGGCATTA